TATATATATATATATATATAGAGAGAGAGAGAGAATTATATTTATGCGTCTTTATATATTTAAGTTCATTTACTTTCTTATTTACTTTCCTAATTAGGTTATTACTGATGAATTCATTTCAATTTACCTATCATGTTTTTTTTAAGGCATCAGCCCATTTTTTCGACATGTGGCTCAGCTTTTTAGACCATACACCACTCACCTGGTCTTGTCAGTTATAGCCTAACATTCATCACCTTATGTTTATTTTGTCACGGGTAATTATAAGCTTACCTTTAAGACAAATATTTTAATGATCTCAAAAATAACTTTTCATCACTTTAATTTATTATTTTTTATTCCATTTGTGTCAACGTGAATACAGGAAAATTACACACATCTATATCTCCTGTCTCTAGACTCATTCCAATATCGATACCACTTTCCTCCAATACAGCTCTTAATCGCTCTAGCGCAACCCCCGCCATCGTTGCCTCTGCCACCCTTAAAGGTCCCATTGTCGCCCCTTCTACCATTGACACAGGCTTTAAAGGCCCATGCGTAAGCTGTCACTGCATTAATCCATCGGCCTGTTGTAGCAATACTCCTAACGGCAATGGCAGTGGCAACGACGTAGATAGTACATCATCTCGTGTAGCTTCTTTTGGCTTCAGCATCGCTGAACTTTCCCGAGAATCTGCAGGGGATTCTTGTATAAAGAACAAATCGTCTCTTAGCCATCCATGTCTACTTCAGCAACCTAGCTCACCTGTTACTGGTGAGTATATGTCGCCTGGCTCGACTAATTCAGGCCCCGATAATAGCCTTCTTCCATTAAGCTCATCTGTATCAGGACTGGTCTCTGCCAGACAGTCAGGAAACTGTTCCTCAACCATCCAGTCTTTACAAATCCCTGGCTCTGGAGGCCACTTAGCTTGTGCGACATCAGGACTCTCTTTTCCCGCTGGATGCACTCCTGCTGGGGTTTGTGGCGACGGCGTTGATGTTAACATACCGAGTATGCCAGCTGTCCTACCGCGTCACCTCATCGCTGCTATGCAACAGCTCACTGGTCTCGATTGGCAAACTGCCTTCCAACTAGTACAATCGAATCCCTATATATCTGAGGTCTATTCAACGGCAGTGACAGCAGCCGCAGCTGCTTCCGCCTCCTCCAGTTCCACGATTTCCACTCCGATTGACCAAGTCACTTCAGCTTCTCTTGTTGATGGACTTGGATCTGCTCTATCTTTATCCGACCGAGACAGAGGAAGGGGCATTCCCATCTCGGAAGCTTCTGCAACGCTCACATCTGGAGATCGAAGAAATCATAGGTAAAAACCATCAGTAATAAATCTCACGGCATATCACTTGCTGCATATCAACACTTTCTTAGTCCAGCTTACTCCTGTATAACTAGACTCGTTAAATATAATTGCTATTCTTCATAAAAACAAACAAACAAATTAATACACAGTCTTTTTATTTCATTCCTTATTCTTTCAAAGATATCGAGTTATGAGATTAACATTTTGCCCGTACTTTCTTAAATCTCACGACAAATTATCCTCGCAA